AAGCATACTATCCTTCCTTCCTCTGTGTGTCTGTCCTCACATGGCTTTCACTTCTGGGTGTGTATCTGTCTCTTCTTTTCTTACAGGAACACATTCATGTTAGATTAAGGGCCCACCTTTCTCCAATATGACCTCATCTTAATTTATATCCTAATATATCTGCAAAGAAACATTTCCAGGCTTCCCATCCAAGATGACAATATAGTAAGACCCTGAACTCACCTCCCCCACCCCAAACACATCAAATTTACACCTACAGTTGGAGCAATTATCTCAAAGAAGAACTGAAGACTGACTGGCTAGCTTCTGCACAACAAACAATGGAGATCACATAGAAATGGGTAGGAGAGCCAGACATGGTAGCATGGGAATCCCATCTGTAATGCACCAACCTGTAGTAAGGAGTCATCGCACTGAAGGGCCTGTACTTAGACTAGCCAGCCCTGGGACACAATGAGAAAGTAGTCCTAAAGTGTATGGGAATCCTAAACTGTATGGGAAGGAAATCCATTTAAAAACCCTAGGGCATTGGCCAACTGAAAGGGGAAGCATGGAAATGCTCTCTGGTGTGGGGGCACCAGAGAGAACCATTTGTTGTCCTCCCCCCCACCTTCATCACATGGGCAGGAGCATGATCCAGGCACTCTAGCCAGCTGGCCAAGACCATTTGAGTATGCACCAGACCCCAGAACCACACCAGCTCAGTGGCTTGTCCAAGGACTCCCTGTGGCTCCATACCTGCTCCAACTACAGCTCCAGATCCCGGCACAGCTTACCCACAGGTCTCCTTGAAGCCTGCTCCAGCTATAGCGACAGCAATCTTGAGAAAGAAGAACAAATTTGGAGGTATCATGGCACACAATATTAAACTGTACTGCAAAGCTATAGTAATCAAAACAGCATGGTAACGGCATGGAAACAGACACATATATCAATGGAACAGAATAGAGAGCCCCCAAAATAAACCCACACCTATATAGTCTATTATTCTATAACAAAGTAGGCAAGAATATACAATGGGTTAGACAGTTCCCTCAATAAATGGAGCTGGGAAAACTGAACAAATACATGCAAAAGAATGAACCTAGACCACTTGAGACATAAATGTAAGACCCCAAACCATAAAACCCCTAGAAGAAAACGTATGCAGTAAAATCTCTGACCTTTCTTTAAGTAATATTTTTTTTATATCTCCTCAGACAAGAGAAATAAAAGAAAAGATAAACAAATGGGACTACATCAAACTAAAAAGTTTTTTCACAGCAAGGGAAATCATTAACAAGACAAAAAGACAACCTACTGAATGGGAGAAGATATTTACCAGTGATATATCTGATAAGGGGTTAATATTCAAAATATATTAAAAAAATTCATTCAACTTAAAACACACACACACACACACACACACATCTGTTTCAAAAATGGACAGAGGACCTGAATAGACATTTCTCCAAAGAGGACATACAGATGGCCAATAGACATATGAAAAGATGCTCAGTGTCACTAACTATCAGAGAAATGCATGTTAAACTGCAATGAGATATCACCTCACATGCGCCAGAATAGGTATCATCAATTATTAATCAACAAACAGGTGTTGATGAGGATGTGGAGAAAAGGGAACCCTCGTGCAGTGTTGGTGGGATTGTAAATCTGTGCAGCCACAGATGGCAAACAGATTGGAGGTTCCTCAAAAAAAATTAAAAATAGAACTATCTTTTGACTCAGCAATTTCATTTCTTGGTATTTATCTGAAGAAATCCAAAACACTAATTCAAAAAGGTATATATGCACGCCTATGTTCATTGCAGCATTAATTATAAAGCTAAGATATGGAAGAAACCTATGTGTCTACTGATAGAAGATTGGATAAAAAAGATGCAGTACATATATACAATGGAGTATTATTACTCAACCATAAAAAATGAAATCTTGCGATTTGTGGAAACATGGATGGAACTAGAGAATAATATGTTAAGTAAAATAAGTTGGACAGAGAAAGACAAATACCATATGATTTTATGTATATGTGGAATCTGAAAAAACAATACAAATGATCAAACAAAATGAAACAGAAATAAACTCATAGATACAAAGAACAAATTGATGGTTGCCAGAAGGGAGGGGTTTGGGAAGAAGATTAAGAAGTAGAAACTTCCAGTTATAAAATAAGTTACAGGTATGTAGTGGATAGCATAGGGAATAGAGTCAATAATATTATAATAACTATATACAGTGACAGATCATTATTAGACTTACTGTAGTTATCATTTTGTAAGGCATATACATGTTGAATCACTATGTTGTACACCTAAAACTAATATAATGTTGCCCTGGCCAGTGTGGCTCAGTTGGTTGGGTGTCATCCAGTGCATGGAAAGGTTGCTGGTTCAATTCCTGGTCAGGGCATGTGCCCAGGTCGATCCCTGGTAGCGGGCATGCAGGAGACAGCAATGTTTTTTCTCTCTCTCTATCTAAAAACATCAATAAAAATATTTTAAAAAACACTATATAATATTGTATGTCAGCTATAATTAAAAACAAAAATTTTAAAGCTTATTTGGAAATAAATATTTCCAAATAAGGTCATATTCACAATTACCAATGATAGGGACTTCAACTTTGGGGGACACAACCCAACCCACAACCAGGTTAGAATTTGGGGGTCTCTAGGAGGCCCTTTTTGTAATGAAAGACATTCAGGAGAGAGATCACCCTTTCGCCCTTAGTAGAAAAAGCTTATGCGTGTTAACAGAACTGTTCAAGTTAGGCCATAGTGCCATGTTTGAGCAAACCATACAGTAATGATACCACTTTCGAGATTAGAGTAGAAGAGAACTGTGTGATCCAACATGGACAGAAGAAGCTTTGTGGAGAGAAAGGATGGAAGCTGAGATGGCACACTTCCTCTGTCTTCTTCCTCTCTGGAAGTAGCCCCAGGGCACTCAGACTCATGGCAAAAAGAATGTGGGGTGAAGAGCTAATGCAAATGCACCTTCTCCGTCCACCGTCCACCATCCACAAAGGCGTCAGGAGAGGCTCACTAAGGAACCGGAGCAGCTCTGTCACCCAGGCGTCCATGCTGAGCCCTGTTCCCAAACCAGAAACCTAGGAAGGAATCCTTTCCTTGTTCTGAACAGCAGCCCACGTGGCACACGGCCCAGGCGCCATAGAGAACCCCAGCTGCTAGGGAGGGGGGGTGTTGAAGGAGGCATGGGAGACAGAAAGCTCAAATTTCTTTTCACAATAGGAATGCTTGACAGAAATGTGCTCTTTCTCAAATGTCAGAGCATGTACCAAAATTTCCTGTGGGATTTTAGGAGAGATGGATTGTTATAATGGGTGTAAGAAGAGGCCTAAAGAAGAAAAAAATCAGCAATGAAGAATGGAGGGGTTCAGGGCTCCAGGAGCATTGCATGTTGCCTATTCTCAAGGGCACTTCAAATTTGCTCGCAAAATGGAATTTGAGAGGTAACAGAAGACACTGATTTTTCCACACACACGCACAAAGTCACCGTCAAGGGAATAAATAATGTGCCTTGAAGAGATAATAAGTAGTTTTTGCCTTTGTGAGCTGAAGGTGAAAAAGCAGAGAGAGGCAAAAATACTGTCACAGGCTTTGAGTAAAGAGAGTATTACCTGAGTTTCTACTTTTACTGACAGTTCTATTTACAAAGGACAGAAGCCTGTTTGTGAAAAAGCTTTTCTCCGGGACCTTTCAAATCTTTTCCGTAAGGAGAAAGAAAGACAAGCAGAGCTCAGTGGGGCACTCAAGCAAGGTTCAAACGATTTCACTGTATGGAAGAGAAATCTGTAATTGGGACCTTACTGAATTCCTTCCAGACCAGGAGTCTGTGGACCCGACAATGTGCATCTCACCCATAGAATGTGTGGTGGTGGTTCTTGAGAAACTTGTCTAATTCCCTGCTTCGTGTATGAGGAAAGCACCCCGCCCCCCACCATCAGATTAAGGGACTTCTTGCCCAGAGCTAGCTAGAGCAAATCAAGGATTAGAACCCAGGTAACTAATTATATACTTGTTATGGGAATTACCTGGGTATCTGATGCCTTCATCTTCATGGTACATTTCTGGAGGGCAGGGACCACATTAGGCTGCTGAGTGGTGCTCAGAAAGCACTGGTTAGTTGGCTAACTGAGTGATTGCTTGGTGTTCTGAACAGTATGACTGATGAAAGCAAGAGCTGTAGGGTCAGTTCTGCCTGTGTCCAGATCTAGGTGTACCACTTATCAGCTGGATAACATTGTGCCGGTTCTTCACCTCTGTAGGTCTTACATTCCTCATTTGTGAAACAGAAAGAATAGTTGTATTTATTTGACAGTACTGCTGTGAAGATGAAATGAACATAACATTGCATTCAGCTGTCACATAATAATACTGCACAAACACCTCTACACTCAGGGCTTTAAAACTACAGTCATGCATTTTTTGTTTGGCATCTACCGGTCAGCTAAGGTGCAGGTGATCTAGCCAGGCATTGGTTGGCTTTGGCCACAAGCTGTAGGTTTGGTTGAGGTCAGCTCCGTAAGTCTCTCATCGTCCATGGCATGAGCTTGCTTCTCATGGTGATGGCAGAAGCTCATCAGGGCAGGGTCACCCTTCTGCACATCCCATGGCCCCAAAGCAATCATGTCTACTAGCATCCCATTGTCCAAAGCAAGTCACAGAGCTGATCCCAAAGTGTAGAAGTAGGGAAGTATTTATTCATCACCCACCAGGTGACCATGGCGAGGATGGGAATGTTTACCACTGCTACAGGGGAGTGAAGACTTGTAACTGATCATTCAATTCAGTGTATCACACACACTTTGCCTAGTGCCTGATACATTATGAATGTTCAGTGGATGTCCACTACTATTATGAATTGCTATGGAACTTTTCTTGGTAGACATATAAAGTCTTCCATTATTAATAAAAATTGTGCTCATTCGCTTACAAAGGATAATCTTCAATATTTTCTTAATATTTTCCCCTGCCACAGATGTGCTTTGCACCAAAGACAACTTATCAGTCAGTTTCTGCCAGACACTGAAAACCATGAAGAAATGTTCGGTGCCCACTGTGCGGGCTCAGTGCTGCCTCTCCTGCTCCCAGAGCCACGTGGTCCAAACCCGAAGGCCAAGGAGGCCACAGGCGCTCAAGAACCCCGAAGCATTCTAAGTCCAGGAGGAAGCCACCCATCACCATAGACTGCTGCAGCCTGCTGACTGTGACCTGCTCTAGCCCCAGGACCCACTTCATGGAGGTGTTACTCTGTGCATTTCAGGTCTAACTTTGGATCATAACAAAACAAAATCCACTGTGTTCCATTAGCTACAAAATTAGGTCCCTTGCAGGAGGTTGGGCCCATAACACTTGCTGATCCCTGAGAGGCTGGTGAGGTACCTGGGAGAATTAGGCATCTCCTCTGCTCAGCTCCTGGGAAAGGTGCCAAATTAAGCAAGTCTGTGAAATATCTTTTTTTCACCCCTCAAAGAGAAAAACAAAGAGACCAGATTTTTCCCAGACTACCTCAAAAGTATCAGGAAACACAGCCACACGTACCCAAGGAACAAAGAATTCTGTTAGTTGACCTTGGTAGGATCATCTTTCCCCCACCCCTTTCTGCTGGGGGCAGCTGCTGTTTAAAAGATCATGAGGGAGCTTTAGGACATTCCCTTGGTTCATCCAGGCAGAGGACCCAGTATTCTTCCCCCAGTATTCAAGTACACAGGAAGAGCAAGTGCTCGTCCCTCAGTCTGTCCCTAGTCCCTGCAGACCCCATCTGGGCTGTTCAGATGCCCACCTAGAGACATAGAATAAGAGGAAGCAGGCAGAAACTGGAGAATTTAGTGAGGCTGAGGCATTTAGATTATAAAGAAGACGTTTCTGACCTGAGGATAATTTCTATGAAAACTCTTAAAAAGAACAGAAATTAATTTCTTGCTAGTACAGTTGACCCTTTGAACAATGTGGGTTTGAACTACATAGATCCACATATATGTGGATTTTTCCAATGAATACTTGTGCTGTTTCCCATCTGCAGTTGGGCTCTGTGGGTGTGGAGGGCAGACTCTAGGCATTGATCTATGCCATTTTATATAAGGGACTTGAGCATCTAAGAATTTGGGTATCTGTGGCAGGGGCGGGTGGGTGATGGGTTCTGAAGCCAATACCCCAGGATACCAAGGGAAAACTTACATTTTGAGGGAGTCAAATGATATAAGGGGATTTTTGACTCATGAGGTTTGGCACCCCTAACCTCTGAAGCATTGTTCAAGGGTCAGCTGTACAAGAAAGGGAATGTGGGCCTTTATTCTTCCCACTTCCTGGGAAAATGTTCTTTCCTTTGCGGAAAGCAAATGTATCTTCCTGTCTGACTTTGCCTCTCCAGCATAGTCCTTGCCTGAGTCATCAGCTCAGATGGAATGTTTTTCCACTGCTGGGTTTACACACAACAACTACTGTACCTGGTCTGTACTGCCCCCGCCCCCAGGTGGGAAAATGGAGCTCCTGACTATATATCTCAAAGAACCAGGTACATTAAATAGAAGAACGTAGTACACATTTCTAGTCTGGGGGAAAACTTCTCAAAAGGGAGGTAAAGATGACCTACTCCCCAGAGCACCCAGTCATTATTTCGAGGGGGGAGGGGGAACAGGCAAATCAATGGGAGTCCAAAAAAATGAAAGTTAGAAGGCTTGTCCTGGATGTTCCCACCATCCAACAGGAGTCAAAGTAGGTGATGGTCTCAAGTTCAAGGTGAATGTCCTGGTTTCTAAGGGGAGGCATTTACATGAACTGAACCCAGAGAGCAGGGTGAGTGGGTGGGTGGGAGCCTCAAGGGGAAGAAGCCCCAGGGATCAGCTCCTGACAGGGAAGGTGGGAAGGTGGACTTCATGTAAGGGGCAGCATCTTTTCAGAGTCATACACAAGTACAGTTAATATTCACCATGCAACACAATATCCCGTATCTTGAATTATCTATCTGTTCAGCAGAATGGTGCTATTGAAAAAATGGTGCTAATATCTAGATGGTGGCAGAACTAATATAAACATGTAAATAGATGTAGACGTGGGCACGTCCACATATACCTTCTGTTAAATGTGTAATGGTGTTGCTGGCCAATGCCCGTTCTATGACTTGGATACCAGAAACGTAAACTTTTTATATTATGTGCTTTTAAATTTTTTCCAAGCCATCAATTGTATATTCTTCTGATAAAATTCTGTGGAACATAAAACACTGAGGTTGGAATGAAATTCAAGATAGACCAGAAATAGGAGGGAAGTAGAAATGTTTACCTAAAGCCAGGAAATTTATTTCTAGATAATAATTACAGTCTTGTATTCTCTGTCTTCAAACACAAACATTGCAGTCTCTTGTGAAATAATAGTTCTAGAGAGAAGATACTTAAATTGTTAGTGATGAGAGTGGAGGAGAACCTGATATTTTTTCTAATGAGGCAATTCACGAAGACTGTCCCTGAAGTGTCCTGTAGGTTAAACCGATCGATTGAACTTGGTATTGTACCATGATAAGGTCATGCATGTCATCAGAGACCTGATATGACCAGTCTTTCAAAACTCAGGAACAAACATGGCTTCCTACTGACCTCAACTAGGCTGGTTTTCCCCATCTACAGACTGTTATTTATGATCCATGTAGTGACGATGGTAGAGATGTAGGGAGGGGCTGGCCAGGTGCTTTTCAGGCCTTTCTCCAGTCTCTCAAAGCTGGAATAGTGGCCCCTAATCTTGCATCATGGACATTCCCTTCCCATGCTGAGGCTGTGTTGGGAGCCAGTTGTGTGGCACCTGCCAATCTGGACCCTAGGATAAAGACAGCACTTGCTATTGGAGTCATCTGACAAGGTTGTTGCCTTGACAACCACTCAGCTTTGGGTCATCAGGGTTTTGACAGGTCCTTGTGCTTGTAACCAGAGGGACGCCTCAGATTATCAGGGCGACTCTGAAGGCAAGAACCTTGATGGTGTCTTCACCATTTCTCTGATGCTCATGGGGGCCAACAGGAAGCGGCACTGTTGGTTTATCTCATCCATGTTCTTCTTCCTCCCCAACTTGAACAAGCAAGTGAGACATGTGGCAGGAGACCCTGGATGCATGTCTCCTGTGACCCAGAGAGGGCCACCACAGGTCCTGGTGCTCAGAGACCTTAAGGTTCTCAAACCCAGTTTGGTTTACACCGCCTTTCACAGTGGGACAGTTAGCTCGTCCATGAAGAGTTGTGGGCTAATTTAATTCTTGAACACAAAACAGACTTCAACACCATGAGAAAACAATATTTCAAGAGACTAAATAGTGGAACAAGACTTCACTCAGTGATACAAACCATTGCCTCTTTGTAGGGTTTTGATGAGTTTTCTGAAACAAGAGCAAACCTCCACCTTATCTCCTGACACCCAATTAATAGCAGCATCCCAACGTGATCTTTCAGTTAGTGAGTGTCTTTGATAACCTTCATCAGGTTTCTGAAACACAGTTTGAGGGATTTATATTCTTTCAGATCATAATTTCCCAATCAATGGGCTAAAATCCTCTGAAGTCTGAAAATGGCACGTTGCTACCCCAGGGACTGCAGGTCTCAGCTCTCCTCCCTGCTGACTTTAAGAAGAAGGCCTGGGACAGCACCTATGCCCAGTGCACAGTGATGCACGTTCAAGAGAGAGGCGGGATGTGAACTGCCTGGTGCTACAACTTAGTCAACATGTTTAATGCTACTCCTGGATTTTCTATTGCTAATTCAGATATTATTGACATTATTATTATTATTGTTATTGTTATTATTAAGTTATATCATGTTTAAAAACCATGGCTGGGAAGCACAAGTCTACCTATTGCCCTCCAAACCATTGCCTCCCTGCATCTCTGTGCTGCTTTGCCAGGACCAGCCTCAAGGGGTACCCTCCTGGGTCCCTCAGTGTTTAAAACCAGACTGTAATCATAGCCTGTCAATGTGCATCAATAAATGGCTAAACTCATTGATACTTCTGTGTGGTTCATTTACCCCTGCTGCAAGACGCCCCCCCCCCCCATGCCCTGGCGTGTAGCCACCTGCTGGAGGGTGCTGTCGGTTTCTTCCATGCTCCTTGAAGGTTCCTCCTACTTCACCCCAGATCAGTGTGTTACTGGATGAATCACATCCAGGTGAGGTTGAGGTAGAACTTAGGTCTCTTCTCACGAGTGATTATGTAATAATTGACAATCTACCCTATGATCCTCTAAAGCAAGGCCTAAAATTCTCCGCAAGATCGGAGCCATGTCTTCAGCATTACCTATTCCTCATCTTATCCAAATTGTAGACATCTCATCCAAAGTGTAGACACGATGTTTAAAAGTAACCCACATCTAGAGGAATGTGCTTTGGAAACCCAATCCTTTTTCAAAGATGGTTCGCAGCACAGTGAGTGCAGCCAGCAAAGGTAGGATTTGGACGCGTGTGCTTGGAACCCACGTCCGTGAAGTGACTGGAAGCGCCGGGGCATGAGGAGCCAGCTCTCTGCAGGTGACCCTAGAATGTTTGAGGGCACACACAGAGGGTCATGGACACTCCCTGTTTGTACCTGGGAAACTCCTCTCTGTGACGCTAGTAACTCATATCCTACGAAGCTCAGCTCAAGTGCTGCTGCCCCCCCCCCCAAGCCTGCACCTTCCCCGCCAGAAAGACCGAGGCACCTCTCTGCGCCCCTTCACCTGCCCGATTCCTTCTAGAATAGAGGGCAATGTCCCCCAAGGGACTTCTAACAATGTTCTGGAGCCGTTTTTGTTTGCTTGTTTATTTTTTGTTTTCACAACTGATGGGGGAGGAGAAGTGCTTCCGACGTCTCGCGGGTAAAGGCCGAGGACTGCTAACACCCTACAGGACAGCCCCTTCCCACACAAAGGATCATCCGGCTCAGAATGTCACTAGTTCTGCAGCTGAAAACTGCACTCGGATAATTACCATCTTGGAATGAGTAGCAGCAGGGTTTCGGGGTTGGGTAAAACTGAGCTCACCCTAAAATTCAGACCTCACAAAAGGTCTGATGAAGAAGAAAAATAATGCATCAGGATTCAAAGCACATTAGCTTGACAAAAGCACCCTATTGTTGGCGGGCAGAGGTGACAGGTTCCGAGGAGTCTCGGGCTGCAGCCCCTGGGGCCCAAGGGTCTCAGTCCTG